CATTGGAAAGGCGGTGTATGCAGGGCCGTAACCACCACAGACATATTCAGATTAGTTGTCGATTAGCATGAAGGAGTCTTAAAATGGTACCTTCTATTTCCCAATTGTGATTTTATTTTAGAATGCATTTTTATTTGTGCTAGGACAATGTATTTTCATGTACACTACTGTTCAAAAATTTGGGGTCAGTAAGATTTTAAAGAACGTAATACCTTTATTCAGCAAGCAAACATTAAATCCATTAAAAATGGTAGTAAATACATTTATAAATGTATAATTTTGTTTTTTGCAGTACTGTTATTTGCTGCTATGCAGCAAACTGTTTTCAACACTAATTACGATAAAAAAATGCTTCCTGAGCAGCAAATCAGCATATTATTATGATTTCTGAAGGATTATGTGACACTGAAGACTGGAGTAATGATGCTGAAAAATACATTACAAGAGAAAACAGTTCTTTTAAATTGTAATAATATTTCACAATATTACAGTTTTTTTTACTGTATTTTGGATCAAATCAATGCAGACTTGGTGAGCAGATATTACTGTTTTTTACTGTATTTTGGATCAAATAAATGCAGACTTGGTGAGCAGATATTACTGTTTTTTTAATGTATTTTGGATCAAATAAATGCAGACTTGGTGAGCAGATATTACTGTTTTTTTAACTGTATTTTGGATCAAATAAATGCAGACTTGGTGAGCAGAAGAAACTTCTTTCAAAAACACAACCCAAGGCTATGTTAGAGTATATACATTTTCCCTTTTTTTTTATTATCTTTTCAGCTTTACAAAAGAAAATATGCAAGCAAGCCTGTAAATTATACAGCTACAGTGTAAATAATGTAAAAGTCAATTTTGCTATTTCGACATAACCTAAAATCTATGTTAGCCAGTTAGGCCTAAATATTATCTTGGTGACAAATCAGTAGAATTTACAACAACGTTGAATACATCACAGAAAACCAATTAGGTCATTCCATGTCAACTCAACCAGAAGTCCATGGCTCAAATTTTTGATTTTGTTGATATTTTTTCTGAAGAAAGATAAGCACGTATGGTGATATAAGCCAAAATATTAAATGTCACTTATGTATATTTACTGAGTAATCCACTATTTTGTAGAGGAGGGTTAAAATTATAATTTAAAACCAGATTCATTTCTAGCTTCTACATTATTTGTTCTTCAGACCTTCCTCTTTAAAAGAAAAGAAGTATCTGTATGCAAAGTGACCCACTGAAAATGTGTACAATTTAACAATTTACTCTTGAGGCCACACTGAAATTCCAAAATTGCTAGAAACTTGCATGCAAACTTTGGAGAAGAAAACTTAAAAAGTGCTTTTTTTCCCCATTTTGAACGATCACCATTGGCATGTAATGCGACAAAATTTGCTAAAGTCAACAGATTTTACTAATAGACCTACCAATCTCTGTGTAAAAATAACAATGATGCCATCTTTCTGAAGTCACTTTTCCCCTCCTGTAATCTGGCTCCAAATCTCAAGGGAAAATAGTCATTTTGACCCCCCCTCTACAAAACAGTGGATTACTCAGTAAATTTACACCTGTGACAATTACTATTTTGGCTTTCATCACCATACATGTTTAAATATTGACAAAATCAAACATTTGAGCTGGCGGAGTTTCTGAGATTTGGTCGATTTGAGACAGAATGACCCAATTGCGTAATTGTGCTAAGAATAAACAATAGATGTCCAAGATCAATAAATGTAAAATTATCACCCCGAAAATGCAAGTGACAGTTCTGGCTGGCCTGAAATACCCCGGTTTGACAGGCCATCCTAATTGTTCAACTAATGATGCTCAGCTTGATGCTAATTTGTTTCAATCATACCTAAAATCAAAAACAGGTGCAGGATGTTGAATATAGAAATTCTACAGTCAGCTACGTTGAAATGTAAGCTGTTTTTGAAGGGGGTTAGTTGCCATTTAAGTGCAAAAGCTCCTCATGACTTTTAATGCTAAGCAGGATTTAAATATATTTTTCATCGAGTTCAATCTTTACAAGCTGTTTGCATTTGAATGGCGAAAAAAAAAACATTTCAAAAGGAAAACATGTTAAACAGATTTTGAGGTGTGCAACGCTGCCATCTGCTAAAATAAACATGAGACATCTGTAAGGGGTAAAAAATTAACCACCTACACCATGGCCTCGTAGGTTCATTTCACAAAAACAAAAACATTTCACTGACCGACCCAACAAAATGGTCTAAACTATGGATGATAACCAACTTTGCTGCCCAAAACAGCTAATAAACCTCAGCACACACTGAGACTTCTGGTGTCATTTAATTTGCAGAACATCTTTACCTCTCACTATGTTTGAAAAGCCCAAAAATGGTGAGAATGTCCATTGAGAGGGGCCAGATTGCATTTTGGCCCAGATGCCTGAACTTCCCACAGCTCGCGAGAGAAAAATAATGCTTGTGTATTTAATTATGAGGCCGCGAATACCAGGGTCACTGACTCATGGTCCCACACAGACGTCATCTCACCTGGAATTAGTCCAGAGCGCCGTGTGTTCGAATCACTGAGGATCGTTTTACACTGACATGTCTCACGAAGGGCTTGAAGGTTACACTCCAAATGGATGAGCGCCAGGTGATAAGCTAATGCGGCCAGAATCAAATGAAAGGGAGAACAACTGTCTGACTTTTTGCAAATCAAAGCAGGCGTTTGAAGTGCGCTGTTTGAATCGGTTGGCGAGCCAGAGCGAAAGAACCAAGGGTTGAGGAAGTCAGAGACTGACGCCCTTCTCCCCCGCATTGGTCACGTTACACAGTCCTCGACGGAGGAGAAGGGATGATTTTCATTAGTTCATAACCTGCTTCTGCGGCGCCTGTAAGAGGCCTCCTCATAAATCATCTTTCAGCCAGCAGAACTGCTATGTTCTCTTCAGAGTGAAAGAAAAAACCACACAAGGAAAAAGCAAAGTCATTATTATGCACAAAAGAAGATAATGTTAACAAAAGAAAGCCATTATTCTCATGCAGAAAATATTATCTTGCTGTTCTTGTATTATCTATTACTCTGTAATTGTAGTGCTTGTGACAAATTTTGCAACAAAGACTAGCTTGTGGAAAATCATTCCGGAACATTTAAAAGTATGAATGCCACAATGCATTACTTTGAATGCAGAACACCTCTTTGAAAACATGAAGCAGCATCTGAATAAGAAAATGCATGCTGTGAATAGTCCATTACTTGAACCTTTCTTTAAAAAGATGCTGGAGCATCTGAATTATACACAAAAAAAAGGTGTGTGCTGATGAAGAATCTCAACTTCTTCCAGTGTCCCAAGTCAACACTAGCGGGCTTGATGTGTAAAAACAAAGTTAGTGATCTCTAGGGAATGATCTGCACATTCCAATCAACAAAATCCTGAGTGCATCCAGAGGATCCTCAAAGACAATGAAGACACATGGGGAAAAAAACAGCCTTTAAGCTATAGAACAAAAAACATCCACACCCTTAAAGTTGTCTTTTTTATCTGTTCAACCTGAATAGAAAGTATTGTTCCGTATTGGCTGCGGTTGTGTAGCATGCAGCAATTAGTGTCAGCCTCAGACAGATGCAACAATGAGCACTTCTGAAGAAAAGCTGGCTGCTGGAATTGTCAGGTTTATGCCTTAAAAAATGTTGGAAAGTACTCAAAGTTTTGATGTTTTTTGTATGCAAATACAATATCCTTGAGCAACTGTACTATAAATGTAGTAACCATATTCCTTGTAGCTGCAGTATGCCCATAAAGTAGTCTGTACACATTAGGAAGGACAAATTCTGTGTCTTCTAGGGCCTGTTTACACCTGGTCATTTCATGCGCAATGTAAACAGACGTGCCAAAGAATCGGATATGGTCAAAAGATCGGATCTGTGCGTTAAGACTTGCAGTGTAAACGCATACTTTGTTTCATTCGCGGCAGTTTGCGCGTCGGCTTGCTGAAGAAATGCTCAGCTCCTCGTCTGTGGTGATGCGTGTTGCATTAGCGCAGTCATATCTGACTATAATGCCATATAGCCTATAACACGCTCTCACACGTTTATTATTTTAACATTTTGGGAGGAGTAAAATTTACATATGTGGTTTCAACAACCAGATGCATTTACACTGGTCCAGTTTCGTCTGGAATGCGACCCAGACCACCTCCTGAAGTGGTTTGAGCGATCGGATTTATATCCGTCTCGAATACGTTTCGGAGGGCAGTTACACCTGGTCTTTTCACGATCGGATAGCTATCCAATCAGACAAAACGCATGAAGTGACCAGGGGTAAACAGCCCCCTAGACACATTCCATGCTGATTTATGTGGTTGTGTCTTTGATTTTTCACTAATGTGCCATTTTCTCAATGTGCTGCCACTTTGTTGCATGGCTTTGTAAGTTTTAAATTAGCATCCATTAAAAAAACCTCCAATCGTTTCATTAATTCTCAATGAAGATTCATTACTCTTGCTACAATGTTTATAACTGTATCGAAGAGTCAAAGCAGTGGAATTAAATCCGCTTCATTTTATTGATATAACTATACACAGACTACAAAACTTTAAAGGATCATTTTTGACCAGATTTCTATTGTTACAATATCAGTAGTATGTGTAAACGAACAATTTGTAAACTTTCTCTGCATTACCTGCAATAAGATATGTTCATTTGTTAGGAAAAGTCAGCCAAACACAAAAAGGCAAAGTTCCATCTGTAGTCTTAACAAAAGCCCTGGAGTTATCAAAAGGCAAAACATTTGACAGCTTTTGTTAAAACTACAAATTGATCTTCCGCATTTTTGTATTCCTGCTGACAGTCAGATCAACAGAATGGTATTGTCCAAATCAAAAATGCATTACGAGTGTTGAAGTTTTTGTCAAAAATAAACATTTTCATTTTTTTCTTAAAAGCCTTGTCAGTTGTGAATTCCCCCTTTAATCATAAAACATCAGCCTGAAGCATCAACAAAGTTGAAATTGGTGGGGTTTTTTTACCTTTCAGCATCGCTCGACCTGTGGAGCCAACAGTGAAGCCGGGCAGAGAACTTCGGGCCCCGAGAGCAGCTGTGGCCTCCAGCAGGGCCCCGCTTAGACGAGCTGCAATGCTGGTTCTAGGAGGACAGGCCCTAAATCTAATCCGCGACGGGGAGACCGGTGGCCATGACACAGCCTGGGCAAGCAGCTTTCTGGACGGGTGCAGGAGATAGACCTCAGGACTCAGGGTAGGATCAACATGGTCAATCTGTAAAAAAAAAGAGAGACAATGACAATTCACGTCTGCTGAGGTTTTTGTCTCCTTAAACAGAGAACATGCTGTCTGAGGTTGTCGAACCCAGGGGTATCTCAACTTTTTTCACAAGATAACATATGAATTAGATCTTTACATTGTTCCCTGTCTTGGAATGCTTGAAAATGGTGAATTCGTTATCATTCAATAAAACAGTACAAAACCAAACTCACTTATATTAAACTTAGAACTTTTATTAACAAAAGTCAGTCAAGTGTTGTACGAAGCCATGTACATGACATGCGGACAAAAATATGTTAATTGTGGCCATGAATTAAGAATTTGTTCCTATGCTATGCTTTATTAAATCATAGCAATGTTGCACTAATTCATTCTTTCATTTTGATTTAACTGCAACGAGGAAACAAATTACTACAGTGTGGCCATGATTTAAAAAAACAACAACAAGGTTTAGTCAAGTTTAAATCAAATGAGAGAACAAATGAAGTAATTATTATGTAGACAAACTCATTTATATTAAACATGGAAATATTGCCAAATATTATATAGGCATTTTTGCTCTTTATATCTTAATACACTTTTACATCTAAATTTTTAGTGTTTTGCTTAAATATTTATTTTTTTAAGAATTTTAATTAAGACTGTGTTGATATAACTAAGTTTAAATAAATGAGGACGTATTGGGGTCCCTGGAAGTTTGCGGAGGTCATCTGATTGAGAAACACTGGTCAAACTAAATTAGCCCAACTAGTGGCAGAACTAGTTCAAAAAACGAATCAACTGGCTGACTAGTCGATGCAACACCTAATAGACATGGAGGTTCCCATCTTCGCTTCTCTAATAATCTCTGATTTGGTGCCCTGCAGTGATTGAATCGCTTTCAATGTGAGCAACCCAAGGAACCAACAGCCGGTTCCCTAATGATGATAACAACAGGAAGCCATAAGAGTCAAAAAAAGACCTCTCTTCTGAACAAGTAACTGCTTAATGATCAGCCCAGTAAGAGCAGAAATGGAGAACAATCCCAGGTCTTGCGATTAAACTTATCCTTATTGAGGTTTGGTGATTTTACTCTTATCTTTGACGTAGTGCACCTCTCCTCTCTCTGCAGTGAGCAGCCATTATTTCACCATTACTGATTCCAGACTGCATTTCTGCCAGCTGATTCCAGGAAAGTCATTACAGCTGTTGTCTGTGCCCTTCCTCTGAAACCATTGACCCAGCTTCTTTGGCACCTCTCTCTCCAAACGGTACTGGCTCTGATGAGAATTAAACTACTCTCATTGGATAAATGGATTCAGTGGCGAGGCAACATGACATAGCAAAGCGAAGCGAAGCACAGGACCTTGAAGACCTTTCACTTAGGTCGTTTATAATGCAAGAACAAAACCAGAAAGAAGCATGTGTAAATAACAGTAAGGTGTTGTTTACAGTAGGTTCAGAGTTTTTACTTGCCCTGACAACATTTTGACTTGTATATTCCACATTCACAAGTTTGGGGTTAGTAAAATTTTGAATATTTGCAAACAATGAAATAGTGCTGGGCGGTATACCGGTTCATACCGAATTCCGGTGTTTATTTTTGTTATGATATGAATTTTTTAAATACCGCAATACCGGTGTATATCACTTAAACAACGTTCGGAACGCGACACTGTTAAAACGTCTTGTACCGTGAAACCGGTATAATTTTGAAAAATATCGTGATATAAATTTTTGGTCATACCGCCCAGCACTACTATGAAATCTCTTTTTCTCTCCAAGACTGCATTTATTTAAACTAAAATGCAGTAAACAGTAATATAGTATGCATTATTACAATTTAAACAAAACTTTTCTATTTGAATATTTTTTTAAATGTAATCGATTTCAGTGATGCAAAGTTGAATTTTCAGCATCGCTACTCCAGTTTTCAGATTCACATTCAGACAGAAATCATTCTAATATACTGATTTGCTGCTCAAGAAACATTGCTCATTATTAAACAGTTATGCTGTTGCTGTTTATTATTGTTGTGGAAAACATATTACAGCAATTTTGTTTCAGGATTCTTTGATGAACAGAAAGTTTAAAAGAACAGCATTTACTACAGTAGAAATCTTTTGTAACATTATAAATGTCTTTACTGTCACTTTTTTCACACAAAAATGTAGTGTGCAGTTTGTACAAAAATGGCAATGATAAATACCTAAATAAAAATATTTTTTTCTTCCTCGCATATAAAATATATATAAATCTTTTATATACGTCAGCAAGAAAAATGAATTTTTAATTTTTATTGAATGCCAATTTTTTCGGAGCCCTAGAAAAACAAGCAGCAGATGCAATATTTCAAGGGTGAGATGAGTACCGTCTCTAATTGGACACTCGCCACCGAGGATAAAGGAGCTTATTGCCACAGCAACCAGGATGAAAGATTCTTGATAGTGCTTAGCAAGTCAATTGCTCTGTTTCTAATTTTTCTCACTTCAAACAAAGAGAAGACAACAAAAAAACGCAATCAAGATGAGGACTTATGTAATGAGGCAACTCTACTTTGTAACTGTCAGGACCCGTGTTTATGAGGTTTTAATCAAGAAAAGAAAGCCTGCTTTAGTATACTTAAGAAAAGAACATGTCATCACAGTATGCTTAAAAGGCAAACATTTTTGAGTTGCTGCCGACCAATTACGACACTTGACCTCTAAATATTTCATGTCACTTTGATTAGTCAATACGTGAGTCAACATTATTTAGAGCCCAGCCCAGATGACATAGTCATAGCACATTATGATAAATTATACCAGTGTCATTTTTTTTCCCCCTGGCTGACAGACTTTTGATTCTTTAACTGTATGTCTATGAAGTGCTTTGTTGAATGCATCAACTGCACATCACTACATTACGTTTACAAACTTACTTACAGTGCATCTCTATAGACGCAAGGTTTGTATTCATTTTCCATACTTCAATGATCTGCCATCATTTATTCTTTACGTATAAATTGCATTACAAGCTGGATAAGCTGGGGAAGTCGTGGCCTAATGGTTAGAGAGTCGGACTCATAACCCAAAGGTTGCGGGTTCGAGTCTCGTACCGGCAGGGATTGTAGGTGGGGGGAGTGAATGTACAGCGCTCTCTCCCCCCTTCAAAACCACGACTGAGGTGCCCTTGAGCAAGGCACCGAACCCCCAACTGCTCCCCGGGTGTCACAGCACAAAAATGGCTGCCCACTGCTCCGGGTGTGTGTTCACGGTGTGTGTGTGTTCACTGCTGTGTGTGTGCACTTTGGATGGGATAAATGCAGAGCACTAATTCCTAGTATGGGTCACCACTTTCACTTTCATAATACACCTATAATGGGCATGAAATAATAGAGTACTAAGGTTGTTATCCACTACTGATTGATGTAGAAACAAACACGCAGGACTTCAATACTGCACCTGTACTGTAAAATGGGCCTCATTGTTTCCGAACGTTAAACTACAGCACTAAGCAAACCGTTTCCTTATCTGAAAAATGATTTTGCAGAATTGGCAGTCCTCAGAAGCCCCTCCCTGAGCCGTAGAGCCGTGGTCCTTTATAATTACTCTTTAATGGGATGGGTTTCCTGCTTTGCTCATGATAAAAACGAAGTCTGCTTTTGTCAGATCTTAAACGGGACCTTAGGGACTCAAATCTGCACGTTCACCAGCTGCCTGAAGTCTGACACTCATTCTCATTGCAAAAGCTGCTGCCACACTCTTAAAAATAAAGGTTTCAAAACAGGGTTTTCGCAGTGATGCCACAGAACCACCATTCCTTAAAGAACCTTTCAGTGAACAGTTCATAAAAGAACCATTTTTTCTTACAGGGTTTCTGCATGTTTTATGAAGGTAAATTTAAGACTTTTTTAAGACCAAGGAAAGAAAACGTAAGGAATAAATTGAGGGGAATACATGTTCTCTAAATGTAAATGTCTAGGGAGCACATTTTAAGTTGTATTAGTGACACTACTGTTCATACCAATTCTCCATTACTTCATTCATTTTACTAAAAAAAATAAATAAATAAATAAAATAAAAACATGGGTTGAATAGCTCTGACCCTAAACACTAAAATATGGAAATAACTTTTACTGTACCTTCTATTCTCACTGCAAAAAAAAGTAACTTTGACTTGTTTCCAGTGGAAATGTCTAAAAGATTCTTAAATCAAGATACATTTATTTGAGAAGCAACATGACATAAGAAGTTTTGTTTTCTGAGAAACGTATGTAAATTAAGTGAGTTTATGATTAAAACAAGAACAAATATCTGCTAATGGACTCGGAAATCAGCTTAATTCAAAGGGAAATCAGGTTTTCACAGCCCAGATATTTGTTCTTGTTTTAAGCATAATCTCAGTTTTATTCAGTTCAGTTTCAAACTTCATATCTTAATTTTGCCTCTCAAGTAATTGTATCCTCCTGACTTAAGGATGTTTAAATATTTGAATTGGAAAACAAAACAAAAATACTGAGGAACATATATATTTTTTCAAAGTGCACTTACAACAATTATGCCATGACTTTATGAATTTAAGACCTTTATAAGACCCGAAGAAACCCTGTACTTAGTGTGAAGTAGTGCTGGGCGGTATGACCAAAAATTTATATCATGGTATTAAAACTGTCAGCTTAGGAAAATAATAACCTGGCATGTTTCAGAACGTGTGTGACTCTAGAAATGCTTTTAAAGGATGACATGTTTCTCAGTCCTTTCACTGACATTAATGCTCAAGCGTTGACTCTCTCTCACTGGCATGTCCCCATCTGACCACAGCGCTAGCAGGTGTGTGAGTCACCTCTAACTGCCCTGTGAAGATGGAGGTGGTGACAGTCTCTGGGCAGAACTTCGCTTTAGTTTTTTTGTAACATTTTCGTAACATGTAATATAACACTGGTTTCAAACAAACCATCAATGTGTCAAATTCAGTTGTATTATTATCATGTTAACCAGGACCTAAATGAAATCACTTCAGTGTCTGATGTCATT